TTTCCATGTGCTCCTCCTTAAATCAGTACTTTCCTGCAGTAACAGAGGCTCATATTGTCTGATGGTTCATTCTTTTGGATGAAGCCACAGCCTCCACAGATCCAGAAACAGATGCTCTGATCCAAAAGACAGTCAAAGAGGCCTTTCACGACAGCACTGTGCTCACCATAGCACATCGCATCAACACAGTGATGAATGCAGATCGTATTCTAGTCATGGATAATGGAGAAGTAACAAAGACGGTTACACAAAACTAATCCGTATACGATCTTCAGCCTCAACTTACCAAGTGTTCTCTTTGACAGGAGGCAGAATTGGACCACCCAGATGTCCTGAAGCAAAGGCCAGAGTCTCTGTTCTCTTCTCTCCTGGCTGCTTCTAAAACAATGAAGAGATGAACTGGTGTAAAGCTGTGATATCAAATAAGCACAGTAATCCCTGTAATGTAATACATTTACACAACATATTTTAATGTTAATGTAAAGGCAGTGTAACCTTTTTATAATTTTGATCAGTCACAAACATATTGGAGTATGTCGACCTGTCCCTCACACTTGGCTGCTATTTAGTTTTCGCTTGTTTAGTTCTCTGTTTTATTAGGTTTAAGCAGCAAAGCTTTTTTTAAGCTTGATCATCAAGCTAACTATTAGGTTCGGGTTTAGGTTAAAATGTACTTTCACAGTATAAAACATTACAGCATTTCCCATTAGTATTCATATGCACTGTACACAGTTGTCTGATTTCTCTGAAATAATATTGCTCTGTTTATTACTAATAACTAACACACAATGGTGAGAAATGATGAACATTCACTTATCAGTATTTTATTATTTCTCTATTTAGATAAGCAGGATGTGTTTTTGTTTTTCAACCTTGAAGTTTTTATAAATAGTGCATTTTACTTAAATGCATGTTAAATGTTTCATGGCTTTAAATAGAAGTGAACACGAGTTTTTCTTTTATGTAAGTTTTAAATCTATTGTGTAAGTAGGGACAACTCACTTAAAAAAACATGGTGAGGGTGAGGGCTAACCTAATTACATAGGTTTTTAGGTTTAATTTAAAAACGTAATTAGTTGATGTAGTAGTAGACACAAGCTCACAAGAACCTTAAAAGAACCTTTTGATGGGCATATAAAAGTTTTTTT